CGTGCTTGTTTTTCCTTTTCACCCGGAGGATAATAACTCGTATAGGAAGATTCCGATAAAAAATAATGCGCCAGTTCCTTCTCACGAAATATTTTTTATTACGTTACATAATATGATATAAATATTAAGAATAATATCATTTTTGTATAATAATATCATTATAATGATATTAAAAAAATCAGTAATTAAATTGAAATATATATACTTGATCTCTGACATGTTTTAGCGTGCGATATTGATTACACACTTTTAGATATTGATTACACATTTATGTATTAATTATGTAAGATAAATAATATTAGTAATTAAAGTAAATTTAATTGATCTTCGATTACGTATTTAAAATTTTCATCTTCTAATATTCTTCAAATATTAGAATGTTTAAATGAATTACAATTAGAATGATTATTATTATAATAAAGCTACAATTTCACTTACTTTAAATTTTTCTTAAAATTACCAGAAATAATTAAATAATTATCTCCAAAAAAAAAAAAAAATAATAAAATATCTAACGAAACTTAAAAATGATCCAGAAGCGAATATATCTTGCTTCGAACGTTCGAATCAACAATTATTAAAGGAATTATAACTATAAGGAAAAGAAAAAAAAGAGAAAAAAGGGAAAGTCGTAAGAGCTGATCAAAAAAGGAAACGAAGGATAGATGACGGAAATAAGGTTGGCCGAGGCCGTTGTTTCCTTAGCCGCTTTCGTTTCCTCCTCTGTCCACCCGATAACGTTCTTATTTGCCGTGGGCTTCCGTTTCAGAAGAAATTGCCCCGGCTTTATCGGGTTCACCCTATATCCGGGAATGCGAGAAACGTTATTTGCACCGGTACATCGACAGAACTGTCTCCATTCGTTCGGTCCGTTTTACTCCGCCGATAACTTCACATCCTAACCTATCCTCGTTCCCCACTCCTATGGGCTAACTATGATCACTGCGCTTTATTGCAGCTTCCCTATATCCGCCCGACTCCTGCGCCCTCAATTCTCTCCGCGAGCGAGGATGTAACTTGGCCTCTCTTGCTTCTTCGCCGACTTTAACCTTTATTGAGTAACAATTTACTGTCAGTTGGCCTTATGTATCTTAGTGGAGAAAGATGTCTTATGGACTCTTGGTGTAATTTGCCTCTTTGATTCGAAGAATGTGCTCGATAATGAAGTAGAGTAGAGTATTAATATAACGTGACTTAAGTCTTTCTTTTTTTAATATTATTAGAATATCGGGAATGTTTAAGATGGAAAAATGGATTCAAGAATGGTGTATATTCTATTTTGTATTGTAATCTTTCAGAATATTCGGTAATTCTGAATTTTTTTTTGAATATTATCAAGTTATGAATATCAGAGATGAGTAAAGTAGATGCAAAGATGCTCTATGCTGATTGTTATTGAAGAGATTTTTTTAATCTTTGAGATGATATTTGGTAACTATTCCTATTGAATTCCTTAGAATTTCTCTTTGAGCATTGTTAAAATAGATGTTAAAATAGATCTCTAGAAAAGGAATCTTTTAAGAAATATTTGGTTATTTGTTAATTTAAATTGTTAACATATTGAGATGTTATTTGCCAATTCTAAATTGAAAAAACTTAAAATGGGTAAAATTATAATATATATTTAATAATATATTATAAATTATTATAATATATATTCTCGTTAGACAAAATTTCTTAAAGTTTAAAACTTAGTTATAAAATGGATATTTAAGACATCATGGCTATATATAGAATATTGATAGTGTATTAATTAATGTTTAATATCTATATAAGTATATTTATATTGTATATTAACTATGAAATTATATCTATATATATATTGTTATCTATGTACTTATATCTACATCATATCTTATCTATAATCTGCATCAATATTAGTACAATATTACTGCAATATTAGTACTTGTACAAATGTTGTACAAATATCAAATATTTGTTTTTAGATATTGCATATTGATAAATATGTGTTATTTATGAAAGGAGGAGCTATTCTTAATTATCTCTTGAATTCTTAAACATTTGCTGTTCTATTTATATTTTGTGTTAAATCTTAAATTCTATAATAACATAATTCCACCATCAACTATATTTCTCACTAAAATTATAAATTCAAAAGAATATATTATTCACAAAGTATGGCTAGATTATTTCCTCTTAATATGATGAATCGTTCTTGTTTAATTCTCTTAGAACTCTTGAAACTTTTTAATGTAACCGAGCTTGTGAATCATCAATAAAGAATAGTTTAGAACAGATTTTTAATTAAACCATTATCGTTATAGAAAAAAAAAAAAACTCAACGATTTATTGTTAATAAAAATTGATTTGATAAAATTCCATCTAATTGAATCTTGTCATATTGAAACGGATATTACTTCCTTTAATTCTCAGCGAAATGATATTTTTCGAATATCTGGAACGTTCATCTGCAACTATTTTTTTGCTTTTTCTCGCGAGAGAATCGATAAAAGGATGGCATAGAGCAGACTTTAAATCAGATCGCAATCGTTATAGTTGATTTAATAAAATTCCTCGTCGATCGAATCCTTTCATACGGAAACGACAGAAAGTCTCTTTCTTAAATTTCTATGAAATGATTTCCACTTCGAATGCCCCATTCAACCTATTATTCCTTCCACTCGCGAGAGAATCATCGATAAAAGACGCTTTAGAGCAGGTTTTAAATCAAATCGCTATCATTCACAGAAAGAATCTCAATCCTTACAATCGATCGAATAAAATTTCAAACATCGACTGGATCCTCTCGCATACACGAAACAAAGAGATAATCCTTCTTCGCATGCAATGCAATATTTTCAAATTTTCACTTGCTCTCATGGAAGAATCATTAGAATAAATCATTCACAGAAAGAATTCAAATTTTCGTTTGTTCTCATGAATCATTGGGATAAAGCAGACTTTAAATCAAATCGCTATCATTGGAAATAAAGAGATAGTCCTTCTTCGCATGCGATATTTTCAAATTTTTATGGAAGAATCATTAGAATAAATCATTCACAGAAAGAATCGTTCGATAGTAGTCCTTCTTCGCATGCAATGCAATATTTTCAAATTTTCACTTGTTCTCATGAATCATCGAGATAAATGTGGAAGCAGACTTTAAATCATAATAAATTAAATCATTTCTATCATTGGAAATGAAGAGCTAGTTCTTCGTACGCAACATAATATTTTCACATTTAGAAGAATCGTTAAGGTAATTTCAAACAGACCTTAAATCAAATCGTTCACAGAAAGAATCCCAAGCGTTACTATTTCTATAATTTCTGTCTTTTCTGCATCATTTTCGAATGTCTTGGATTTTTGAATCTAATAAAATCTAGAAAAATGAAGAATTTCTAATGTATCATTATTATATGTATTATTATATGTATTAACTTTGTATTAACTGCTTTAGTGTTCTGTTTCAATAACTGTTTCAGAGATTATCATTATAAATTATTAAATTATAAATTATAAATTATAAATAATTATAATAATAAAATATTAAATTATAAATTATTTAATTTATAATTTCTAATGTATTATTATATATATTATTATATATATTAACTTTGTATTAACTGCTTTAGTGTTCTGTTTCAATAACTGTTTCAAAGATTATCATTATAAATTATTAAATTATAAATTATAAATTATAAATAATTATAATAATAAAATATTAAATTATAAATTATTTAATTTATAATTTCTAATATATTATTATATGTATTATTATTATTATTATATGTATTATTATATGTATTATTATTATATGTATTATTATATATATTAACTTTGTATTAACTGCTTTAGTGTTCTGTTTCAATAACTGTTTCAAAGATTATCATTATAAATTATTAAATTATAAATTATAAATTATAAATAATTATAATAATAAAATATTAAATTATAAATTATTTAATTATTTAAATTAATAAATAAAATTATTATTATTTAATTTATAATTTAAAGTGATTATTATGACTGCATAATTTAATCGCGACATTGTCGGATATTGAAAAATTTTTTTATCAAAAGTTGTGGATTTCAGGATCATTTTCTTTTATTTTTCAAATTAGAATGAGCAATCATCGCTTGATTACGATCGATCGAATAAAATTTCGTTATTCAGGAATCCTTCATCCCGACAGAAAATTTCCTCCCCCCTTGTTTACCCCTCGTTTAAATCTCCATGCGAGATAATATTTTCGAACGTTCTCACATTCGTCTGCGTGTTGTTCTCCGCGCATGAGAGAGGATACATATCCAACGGGCCAAGATTTAAACAGGAAATTTCGATGGAAACAGCGTTCGGACGAGTATAAAGCGGCGATGATGGAGGACGTGGCGGAATAAATAACGATCGCGCGATACAGAATCGAGAGGGTTTCCATCCGTTTCACGGATAGAATGGAAGAAGAATCTTTCCAACGATCTTTCCCGATTCACAAGGATTTTTATTCCTACGAAACGCAATTTTCCAAGACAAATTCCCGATACGTTCCCTCCTTGTCGAATAACATACAGAGTGGCTCGAAAGTAGATGGTAACCCGAGGGACTCGCATCCGTTTCCCATCCAATTTCGTCCTGTTTTTATATACTTTAGACCGTGTTTGCGCCCCACGTGTATTTCCCTTCGATTCTTCCATCTATGATCTTCCTTGTACAACTTGTTCCCCGCGAAAACCACAATTTTATTATTACGAATCGGATATAATTGTCGTAGCCTAGAATAATGGAAATATTGTCCACGTGTATAATCGGTGATATTTAACTCGATAGTAGATCGTTGCTGGTGACTATAAATGATTATAATTGATTAATCGATGTAACGATATCAGGTTATGATATAGAGTTATAACAGTTGACGAGAAAAAATAATTATTGTTGATATAATGAGATAAAATGATAAAATAAAAAAATATTATTGTTAATAGTTAATAGTGATTTCGTGAATGGTGAAGACAAGGGATTTTTTCGTTTTTTTTCGCAGGTTTTCACACGTACACGTTGAACGAAACGACGCACACGGAACGGGAGGAGGACGAGATATTGACGGTGAGATACGAGGATGGAAGATGGTCGAAACCTTACTACGATTGCGGGGGTGGAAATATTTGGATGTTGACGTACACCGTCCCCTTCTTCGGCTACGTCAACGATACTTACTTCTTCAAGTGAGTGTCGTCAAATTTTTTTAACAACTAATATTTAACTAAATTGTCATTTAAATCTTCATTTTTTTTTTTTTTTTTTAAATCGAATTTTAATCGATGATTAAAATTTTATCCAATTAATTTCTTTCGAGATTTTCGACAAAATAAATCGGGGAATTATTTTTCATTGCTCGTCTTCACTTGTTAAATCACTATTTTTTCCCCGAATATTTCTCGATTGAAAAATAATCCAGAATATTCGTTCGAAGCTTTTATAAACGCGCATCCAGCTTTTCAAATTGTTTGGAAAAACGAAGCGGCTTATACGCGTATATGTATCTTCTTTTTCTTTCTTTCTTATTTTTTTTTTATTATTATTTTTTTTTTTTTTTTATTATAAGAAAGAATTTTTCAACAGATGCGTCGAGCAATTTGTTGGTAATCTCGAGTCGTTAATTCGAGTCGTAATACTCGTAAATGTTGAACGTGCGTGCTTGTAAATATACTTTTCATTTCAGATATTTTTTTATCCTTTTTGCAATAATTGTTTACTTTGCAAAAATGTGAAAAATAGCGATGCCCTTTTGATCCGTTTTTTTCTTTTTCTTTTTTTTTTTTTTCTTTTTGGAAAATCGGAATAACGATGCGTAGAAAAATTTAATCTTTCGGCTTCGATTCTCAAATATCGAGCAGTTATTTGCCAAAGGGTTGCGTACATATAAAAAGATTTTTATCATTTCGAGGGACAAAATTTCGGCGCGAGATCGAAAAGAGACATTTGTTACAAAAAAAAAAAAAAAAAAAAATTTATCATATTAGAAATTATCGAGAATTAAAGAATTTAAATTATATTTCTTTCATTGTAAAATTTATTATGCGCGTGTAAAGTAAATATTTATCAGATAAATATTGAAAAACACATGGATATATCTTTTCCCCCCCATCTTTTTCGACTTTTGATATTGATGGCAATTTTTTAAAATATTTTTCCTTCGCACGATCCATTCATCTGAATTTTCAGATAAATTATTCTTAATACATTTTTTAATATATTATGAAAATAATACATTTATTTGTAACGAAGATTGAAAGAATAATATTAAAATATTTTTCGAATTAGAAATTCTATCCTTTTTTTTTTTTTTTTTAATTAAATTCTAATAGCCTAATAGTGCGGATCAATCGAAAAATTTTCAAATTTTCATTTTATTGGGCAATGCATAGAGAGGAGGAGTAGCGTTCGATACGAACTTTTATTTAGATAGCGAAAAACAACTCTTGAGAGTTTTAACTCTCAAATGTACTCTTAAATAGAAATAATAAAAATACTTTCATTTTTGTGTATATATATATATATTTTTTGTTTAATTATATTAATTACAAATTTTTAATTATCGAAAAGTACAATTTCTTATTAAATTAAAAATTAAAAATCTTTATACTAAAAAATATCTTAGCCACTGGAACATATTGTAACGAAATAATCGAGATCAATTTTCTCTTCAACAATCCACAATTTGTTTTACGAATCTTTCAAATCTTAAAAGAAAAGAGCAATTGTTTTACGTGTCACTCAATTTTTATCTTATAATAATAATAATAATCATCATCATCATCATCATCACATCCTTGTACCAAAAAATAATCTTTGGGGATACCGAAAGGATAACGAAAGGAGTTGAAAACAATTTGACCCTTCTTCTCCCCCAGTGTATGGGTTAATTTATGGTTTATGTGTGGTCAGACGTGAAAGTAATAGTCCATTATTTATCTGATTCCATCTCTTGAAATCAATGAGCTCGACGACGTGCCAGGGTCACGTGAATCTGGCGAATTCTAATCTGCCAATTGTTTTTGGTTTATTGCACAAGTGCACGCGATGATGGCCGATGGTGTGCAGTGATTTAATTCGATCTCGCGACGTGGAAAATTTAAACGGAAGTTTTTTTTGTTTTTTGTTTTATAAAAAATATGCAAAATAATTGTGAACGTTTTCATTTATATCTCTTTATCTCGTTCTTTTTTTTTTTTTTTTTTTTTTTCTATTTCGTTTTGTGCATTTTGTCGTGTCCTTTTTTCCCTCCATATCCGGATTTGGATAAAAATTGATAGGAAAATTGGTAGTTCGTAATGATTCATTTAAATATTGTTTTTTTTTTCATGGATTGGCAATTATTTAAAGTTTACGGTTGTTACCATTTCGAGATGTAATTCATTCTTTCATCAAACTGTGTGGAAATTTAATGCGAAAAAATGAATAGGATGAAACTAGGCGGTAAAAATAAAGTTAAAAAAAGATATATAAAATACTCGTTATAATAAATATTTAACGCGTGAATTAATTTTCATCAATAATAATACGCGAATAAATATTATAATATATAAAATATTGGAAATAAAATATTCATTGCGATATTCAGCAGACGATATAGCTCATTGTTTACTAATGTTAATAATACAGTTACATTAAAATCTAGGAGTAAATTTACTAAAAAAAAACCTCCACACAATAGAAATATATCAAAATGTATATTACATAGTAATATTTTGTAACCAACCATCGATTAAAATATTTATTTTGATATTCAGTAGCTGCCTAAATTTGGTAATAAAAACTCTTAGAGGTTAGAAATATACCAAAGCGTATATTATATAGTAATATTTTATTACCAATCATCGATTAAAATATTTATTTCGATATTCAGTAGTTGCCTAAATTTGGTAATAAAAACTCTTAGAGGTTAGAAATATACCAAAGCGTATATTATATAGTAATATTTTGTTACCAACCACCGATTAAAATATTTATTTCGATATTCAGTAGTTGACTAAATTTGGTAATAAAAACTCTTAGAAATATATCAAAGCATATATTACATAGTAATATTTTGTTACCAATCACCGATTAAAATATTTATTTTAATATTCAGTAGCTGACTAAATTTGGTGATAAAAACTCTTAGAGGTTAGAAATATACCAAAGCGTATATTACATAGTAATATTTTGTAACCAACCACCGATTAAAATATTTATTTCAACAAAAATCTTTAAACGATAAAAATACATCAAAGCGTATATTATATAGTAATATTTTGTTACCAACCATCGATTAAAATATTTATTTCGATATTCAACAGCTGACTAAATAAAATCTTTATTGCAACAATATAATATTAAAATAAAATATTTATTGCAATATTCGCAATACAATTGATATAATTTCTTAAATGTTGTTAACGATATATTAAAGTCCGTTAAAAGTGAAGAAACTATCAGAATGTGTAGCCACTAAATAAACAAATAATATTATCTCTAATAATCCTAAATCCCTTAAATCCTAAGGACAGAGGTATATCGTATCAATGATTGATATCAAGGAGAAAAATAGATAATTCCGTAATAACACTATCGACTGAATCGATTCGAGTGTTCCAGTTCGCTGTATGAAATTTGATTATGATTATTACAACCAGTTATAAATTCGTGGAAAAGTACGACGATCGGTCGTACACACAGAGAGATTCATCATTTGCCGAATCATCGATTCGGAATATCTGTCACAATTTTATTATTTGGTAGGATTTATCGATATCGTGATCTATTTCATTGCGAATGTTTGGACGATTGGTGTATTATCCACATATTATTCATCAATCGAAAATTTCAAATTGCTTCCTCGACCCTTTCCTGTACAGGGCGGGAAATGATTCGCATAATCGAAATGGAAAGAGATATATTGTAATACATATATCGTATAAAATGAACTTAATATCTGTAGTTATATATTGTTATGACTGGATTGGATATTTGTGTAATTGAAATTTTTATGGAATACTAGGGAAATGGAAGATTCTCTCTTTTCTTTAAATATATAAATATCGCGTAATACGTACATTTGCTTTGGATATATTTGTCCCCTGTTTGCATATTATTCTCGAAATTAATGTTACATTATAAGATAATATGTATAAATTGGATATATGCATAAAGTAATAATATATTTCGCGAAATAATAGTTAAAAATTATTGTCTCTCTCTCTCTCTCTCTCTCTCTATATATATGTACACAAAGATAAAAATTGTCGTGTAAACGTGTAATGTTATCCAATTTTTTCCATTTTCCTTCACGTTTTTTTTTTTTTTTTATCTTATCCGATTATTACATTGCAAACAAAATAAATAATTTGTCTAACGTTATTTACTTTTTGTCATTATTTTAAAAGAACATGTAATAAATGTATACACATATAATATAAATATAGATACAGATTCAAAATAACTCGATCTCGATATATTTCGCTGATGCAAAATTAAATTCCTTAACCTAACTCGAAAACATAAGTTTTTAACAAACTTATTTTCCATACTTAAATTTTCCATTTACTCCCTACACACCATATATACACGATATTCAGTAGCTAAATTTACTAACAAAAATCTTTTAAGGATAAAAATACATCAAAGCGTATATTATATAGTAATATTTTGTTACCAACCATCGATTAAAATATTTATTTCGATATTCAACAGCTGACTAAATAAAATCTTTATTGAAACAATGTAATATTAAAATATTTATATAAATATTAATATATATTTTCGACACATATAACATATATTTTCTCCTTGATAAATTACTTAATATGATAAATTTTTTTATGCACCAACTTTTTGTATCCTCTTACGTAAAACCATATATATATATACAGGGTGTTCTTGGATTAAACGATCAAATCATTATGTCCTATGAACAAAAGAACATATAGATCTGCAAACGCTTTGAAAAGAATGTTTATGCTTCCTCTTGTAGCTTGACATCATAGGGAAACTTATCACTCTTCTAAAATTTTATCATTTTTATCAGTTAGGTGAATGATCTATTGATCCTTTCTATTAATTCTGTTCAATGTATTGACCAAATATCTCGTGTAATGCATTTACGTTAATCTAATCCAAAACATTTTACTTTTATTAAGATTTTCAATAGTAAATAAATTACAAAATGGTTCACGAAATAATC